CCGCCCGACCCTCCCATGGCGGGGCTCAGAACGCGCCCCTCGGTCGGTCTCCGCAGCCTCCCTCCCGCACTCGCACCCACGCCTCGGAGACCCGGGGTTGGAACATCCCCGACGGCGAGGATGCTGCCGGGGCTGGATCTGGGCGCCACAGACCTTAGCCTGGCTGCGGAGGCCCAGGCCCGGGCCCTTTGAAGTCGCTTCTAGGGGCGGTGCCCCAGCCGGAGGGGAGATGGGGCCTCGCCTCGCTCGGAAACCTCCTAGGGTCCCAGCAGCCACACCTGCCCCGCCCCTCAGGGTAGGAGCCTTCTGCACCCTGAGCGATCAGCTCCGAACCCTGACGTGAGATTTGGGTCAGGAACGCAGACGCAGGACCGTACCATACAAAGGTGCCTTTTATGGGGGTAGAAACGGCGATCAGGGCGGCTGCCTGGAGGAGGTGACCGCTGACTGGAGGCGGAAGTAGGGTGCTTTGTCTTTCCAGGCCTCCCTGCTTCCCGGGGGACTTTCTGCCAGCTCCTTGCAGGCCGCCTCCTCCTCCTTTGCAAGGACCTTTGCTTCCCATGCTTGCTGAGAAAGGAGAGGACTGCAGCATGGCGGTGCAGGTGGGAGGGGTGAAGGTATGAGCAGTCCTTTGCTAGGGGCCCTCTCTCCCCGGGTCTCTTCCTCCACGCCCAACCTCTCTGCTGCAGGAATGCCTTTGAACAGCGTCTGCCGGGGCCACAGCGCAGATGCCCTGCGCTTCTCCAGACCCCGAGGAGGCCCTTCATTCAGCCAGTGCCTTGATAGCCACGTGTGCCCCCTTAGCCGAGATCTGGGAAGGACCCCCCCCTCCCCCCCGCCCGGGATGCTCACAGGTTGTGGGGCCAGACGGGCTTCCTCTGCCCCAAGGAAGAGGGCTGCTTGGAGAGGTACAGCCTGCGGCAGGCCAAGGAAGGGGTAGGTGCTTGGGGCTGGACCGTGGAGGAGAGAAACGTGAGGGATTCGTGCAGCAGTAGCGTGCCCAGGGTGCTGGCGGGGTGCATGTCGGTGTGTCTGGATCCGCAGAGTACCAGCCGTGGGCCTCACTGCGGTGTTGGGGGAGGTTTCTGCTCTGCCCCCTCAGGACGGAGGTGGAAGAATGCAGAGTTGGACTGTGCACAGTCTGAGGTCCACAGGCCAGAGGCTCAAGGTGTGGAGTAGGGTGACCCCCACTGACCATTGCTGTCCCAAGGGTTGAGTGTACAGCATGGCTTGTGGTCAGCCACTCTCATCTGGACTCTGGGATCCATAGCAAATGTCCAAAACTTTGCTGGGGAAAAGGGAGGAGGTTCTCGAGAGGCTGTGGAAGTTCCCACGCAGTGCATCTGGGAGAGGATTCCTGGGACTGCTCAGACACTGCTTGGTTCTCCCAATTTACACATCTCCAGGTGCCACCCCCACTCCCTGAAATCCCCTCACTACATTTACCTTTGCTCCTCCTACGTATGCCTCTTCTAACCTGTCAGCCTCTGAGCAGTGTAATCTATACCCACAGGTGGCCCGCACACAGTTGGAGCTGGGCATGGGACAAGGAAGCAGGGGTCCAGAACCTGGTGTATAGTCTTGGCATCTTGGCAGGATGTCCAGGTCCAGGCTCATGTCGGCTCTTGGCACTGTCCCTGACTGAAGAGAACAGCAGGGGCCCACCTGTGACGCGCCCCCTGTAGGGGTTCAGGCTGCGCTCCTGAAGGCTGAAGGTAATCCTTCTTAGGGCCCACAGTGTGGGCCACTCCTGAGGTACCCTGGGTTGGGGACAGCGTGTCAGATAAGCTTCAGGTCCTCTGGTTCCTCCAGCTCTTCTCCAAAGACTCCCTCCAGAAAACAGTTTCCTTTCTACCTTTAATGTCTTGGCCCTGGGGAATTGTTGCTGAGCCCGTGTGCTGCTGAGGTACCAAGACAAGGTGGCCATGGGGACTGGGAACCCTCCTTACCCGAAAGTGGGGGTGGGTGGTGGTGGGCTGAAGCCTCACCTCTGCCCTGGAGGCCTTCCTGCATTTGTCACACACCCCACCAGGCATTTGTGCTGCTGGGTGTATCCAGACAGACGGCCTGTTTCACGTAGTTTTCACTCATTCCACAAAAATGTACTGAGTGTTCGCCATACGCTAAGGCCTGTGCCTGCCTGCGGCTGGTTGAGTCCTCAGGGACTGTCTCATTTGTGTTTTCTCAGCACCCAGGAGAGAACCTGGCCACTTACATTTGCTACTAGCAGGATTCTGTTACAGGAATTACTATCCTTGCCCACCCCTTGACCACGATCCAGAGAGAGAGGAAGGGAGGGCCTGAGGGGGCTTAGGTGGGTGAAAACATCCGTTCTTGCTACCTTAGAGGCCACAGTTGATGGCCCTGTCCTTCCAGGGAGCTCCAAGTAGCTCAGGGCACGATGCCCACATCCGCCATGTGTGGCCAGGCCAGTCCAAGGTCAGGAGAAACCACAGTGCTCTTTCCCTGATGGGCAAGCAGGACTGGCAGGCTCCAGGAGGACGATGCCCTTGGGAGATGCCCTTGGGCCCGGGTTTAGGGGGAGGGAAAGAAAAGGGTGAGGCAAGAACAGCCTCAGGCTTAGGGCACAATCAACCCAGGAGGCTGTCCAGAGCTAGGGGCAGCCTTGCTGTGGGAGGAAGAATGGGCTCACACTTGAGGGACCTTCTTGTGAGGTCATGGCCCTAATGACCCTCTTCGCCCCCCAGTGGCCCCTTGGAGCCAATACATCTGCAATCCCCACTTCCTGGAACGCCCAGCCACACTAGTAACCACTCCAGGGTCCCAGAGACAAGCCAGACCAGAGGACTTCAGAGTACCCCACTCCAGTGTGGCCTATCTGGCCACCCAACGTAGTTTTCAGGGTCAGGGGCTGGTGTCCGCAGGGTGGAGAGGACCACGGTCAGTGAGAGGGCACAGCTGGATGGGAGGGGCTGTTCGGACCTCCTCCTGGGTTAGCTCCCGGCCTTAGAGTGACAGGGAGCCAAGGCAGACCCTAGGCAGCGTTCCGGGATTCTGTGAGGTGCAGAGACAGGCAGAAGCATGGGCACTAGGCGGTATCCACAAGGAAGGGCTGGTGTGAGGCAGTTTGAGACCCAGTGCCCAGCACGTCATGGGAGGACAGGAGTCAGTCGATGAGGCAAGAAAGCTGGACTTTAAACTGTGTTTGTTTCGGCAGGACGCAGGGGAGGGCGCGTCTGTGACAAGGGGAGTTTCCCAGCTCCGCTTCTGTGCCATTCAGTCCCGAAGCAAACACTGAGTACCCGCTATGTGTCCAGCCTAGACCTAGGGAACAGACGTAGGGGAGGGGTGGCGCCCTTCTGGGGCCTGAGCTGTGGGGGGCTCTGGAGGGGCCAGCTTCCGAGGGGCCAATCGAGAACAGAGTTTGATCTGCCAAGTGGGGCCCATAACCGGCCCTGAGCCAGAGTCAAGCACAAATACAAGAGCAGAGCCCAGTCCCTTCAGGAAACTGGGCCTGGGGTCCAGGTGAGGAACCGTCCCAAGCGTGCACAGTTTCTGGAGGTCGAGCCAGAGATCGGACCCTGTTGGGTGCCCCTTGTGCCAGGTCAAAGCATCTCAGCCGCATCTGCAGTCACTCCAGGACCACTGTCAGGCCTGCTCTGTGTTTTCACAGAGAAAATCAGTCTGCTCTGGCATCCCACAAAGGGGCCGTCAGGTGGTAGGGTGGGACAGGTTTGCCCAGCTGAGCCCAGGGAGGCCCTGGCTCTGGGGCCTGGGAGCAGAAGGCTGTTGGGAGGCGTGAGGCTTCACCCCTCCTGGAGGCAGCCGCCAGGTGGGAGAGCCCAGGAGGGAGGTGGGGTGAGGCCCAGGTGCTGGGGTTGCATGAGGGGGCCTTGGGAAGACAGTTTACAAAGGCTCCCCAGCCTCACCTGCCCCCAGGAGACCCCCATTCTCTCACCCTCACACTTGCCGTTCAGGCCGAGGGAACAGGCAGCCTGCCCAAGATCACCTGGCCTCCAGCACCAAGTGTTAATGTGACCTGCAGAACCCAGACAGAGGCCAGACCCAGGACTCCTTAACTTTCCCGCTTCCCCTCACAGCTGCAGGCTTCCACCAGCCCAGCACACTGGTCGCTGTGAGGAGAAGGCTCTTTATCTTATCAGTCAGCTCCTCCAGCAGAAGGCTGGGGAGCAGCTGGGATGTGTGCCCTGGGTGTGTTTGCCCGTGGCCTGAGCATCACCGTGGCCTGATGAAAGCGAGGGCCCAGAAGCCAACCACCCCAGGAGAGAGAGGGACAGTGCCTTGAGGTGCAGGCAAGCCTCTACCAAAAAGTACTGGGATGGCAAAGAGGAGGCGAGAGTGAGATGCACCCCCTCAGTCCAGTTCCTGGGCCTCCTTGGATATGTGGAGCCACTCACTGGCCATCTGGGCCTGGACACCAGCACCACTGGCCTTGCCTCAGTGTGCGTGTCCACAGACACCCCGGCAGCAGTGGCCGTGCCAGGACAGTGTGGCCTCAGCCCTGAGGACCCTCCACTTTCTGACCCCTGGGCTACTCAGATGGCAGGAGAGGTCCAAGCCACGTCTGTATTTCCAGGCTTCCAGTAAAATAAAAATGGATGAAATATAAAAATAGTGTTTCCAAAATCATGGCACATTTTATTATGCTTTGATCATGTATTCAAACCGATATTTTTGAGAGCTTCCAGTGTAGCAGGCACTGAGAACAAGGAACAATTAAGTCTTTGTAACACATCCAAAATGCATCACCCCATTTGGAAGTAACGTCAGAGATTTAAATTCCAGGCCCCTGGTCCTCTTTTCAAGATGGATCCCCGAGTCCCTGTTGCCTATGACTTCTTGGATGATCTAGATTAGGCTGTCTCCTGCTGCGGCTCCTCGGGCTCTGACAGAGTGTGGCCGAAGTGGTGAAGCCTGCTGTGGCCTGTCCCCAGCCTCCCTTCCAGCCCTATCCCTTCAGTCTCTTAGGGATGGCACTGACCCCTCAAGTTCCACTACTCACTGGCTGGTCTTCATGAAATGCTCTGTCCAGTGGTGCCCAGCACTGCCTAGTGGTGACCGTGACTAAGTCACAGGCTGTCGAGGACTGCTCGGGCTGACCTCACCTACAGACCTCGCCGCTGGACATCCCAACTGTGACCACCTGGTGTGAGCCTGGCGATTGTGCTGCTGGGAGAACGGGGCAGAGCCATGCTGCTGGAGTCCAGTGGCTGCCAGCTGGCCCAGAGGTCTGGGAATCCAGGTGCAGGGGGCCATGGGGATTAGAGGAGGAAAGGCCAGATTAATGCCTGTGAGGGTGAATGGGCTGAAGCAGAGCCAATGAGTCGACCTTGTGTCCTGGGTGGCTATTTTCTTGGCTCCCAAGAATTTTTAGTATGTGTTCCCATTTCCTCTTCCAAAGCCAGGTCCATAACTGTCCAGATCTGGACGTAGCTTTGGAGTGTGGGAGGCAGAGCACTCTGTGGGAGTGGGGCTGAAATCCTCACACCCTGCTTCTCTCGATGGCAGGAGCAGTCATGTGAATTGAGACCACCGAGAGGACTCCAGTCAGACTGCGCGAGCATTCACGAGGTTAGTGGAAGGGTAGATTTGCCTGAGGAAGAGTGAAGCAGTACCTCTCCACATGAGAAGTCAGACAGCTACAAGAGAAAGGAGAACTTCTGTGTGTTCAAAGTTAAGAAGCCATCTCATCTCCAGGAAAAGAAAGAAAATGGAGCGTTGGGGCTTGAGGTGCACTGAATGTTGGAAAGGCCTGGCCAGCATTTTGGGACCAGCAGGCCCTGGGAAGTAGCCGTGTTTTGGATTAAGACAAGTTGACTACAAAGAGCTGTGACATTGAGCTTTGAAGCATGAAGTATTGTTGGCCCGGAGAAGGAGCACATGCATTTCCCTCAGAGAACCATGGTGTTCCAGAGCCAGAGAGAGATGGAACATTTCCATGAGGCCTTGTGAACATCTATTATCCTAACTCCAATAATAGTCCTTTTAAGAAAATGGCATGGCCATCTAGTGGGTGAATATAGCAAATTGGCTTCCATAGTATGTCAAAACACTATTGCCAGTTTGGGGATTTTTTCCCTGGAATGATAAGCTTATCTTAACCTTATAAAATCTAATGATTATTAGACTAAAAAGAGAAAAGGAACCTTGTGATTATCTCAAAAGGAATTTGATAAAATTTATCAGCCGTTCACAGTAAGACAGTTGGAAAGGCATGGAAGAAGGAAATGTCTGTAACATTTTAAGGAATGTGTGTAAAAAACCAAAGCTAGTACTGGGCTTAACTGCCTAGAAAGTTCCATTGTGAGAATCTAAACAATGTCCCTTTCACTGCTATTGTTCAGTGTTGCTCTGAAGGTCCTCACTAGGACAATAACTTGAAAACAAGAAATAAGGGTAAGTAAAGGAATTAAGTAGTAATACCAAGGGGCAGAATGGTCTTTTTTTTTTTTTTTTTAAATAAAAGCTAAAGCTTTACTGTCGTGTAACATGATCGGCTTGGTGGCATAATCAGTGTGGTCAACCTGACACCTCTGACCCGGTCCAGAGCATTTTCCGGGACCTTCTCACTGAACTACATCACCATGCCATTTAATTTTTCTTTGTAATTTTGTCATAGGATCTCACTAAGTATCTAATTTGCTCAATGTAGACTTGAATTTCTAATCCCTTTGCCCCAGGTTCCCAGAGTACTGGGATTATAGATCTACACCACCTCAACAGGTTTCACTAAGCAGTTTTTTAAAAATGGATTCTGTTGGTACATATTAGGTATATGATATCATGAGATGCATCAATGGAAATTTGCACCTTTACGTAACCTCTCTTGGTTCTTATTTTTTCACCATTCCCCTGCCCTCCCTTCAACCCTTCCATTCCTCCCTATTTACAAAGACTTTGTTTCCATTTTTCCATTTTCTCATATGTATTCCTTACCCTTTTTTCTTTCCCCAGGGCCTTCCACTTCCCCTTCCCTTTTACCCCTTTCCTTCCTATTTGACATCATCTGTTATAGCTTTTAGTGCTTACTTACACTTTCAGTTTCTCACACTACAGAAACTATGTGGTATTTACACGTGTATCCTATTTATTTCACTTAAGAGTATCACCTCAATGCGCATTCGTTTAGCTAAAAATGTCTCTAATTTATTGTTTTTGAAAGCTGAGTAGTACTCCATTTTATTTTTAAAAAAACCCCACAGATTCTTTTTAAGCCTCCAGTTGATGGGCACTTGGGCTGCTTCCAAGTTTTAGCTATTACAGATTGTGCTGCTATGAACATGGGTGCACATATATCTCTGTGATATGATGCTTTTAATTCTTTGGGGAAGATCCCCAGCAGGGGAATAGCTGGGTCAAATGGGACCTCTAATCCTAGTTTTCTGAGGTATCTCCATACAGATTTCCACTGTCAATTTTGAAAAAACAAACTCTGAAATCGACCACTCTGCCTAGGTATCAACCTTTAGGACTGGGATCAATTTGTTAGCTCTGGTGAGGGGTGTGGACTCTGTCAGCAGGGTGCTTCTCCCTGAGAGGCCACCAGGGCCTCGCAGCCTGCATGGTGACCACAGGCTTTGCCCTGACCTCCCTCCCACACTCCCCTGGTGTGCAGAGACCCCACTTCTTTCTCACCTTTGAGCACGGTCAGCTGGGCAGGGAGCAGGACAAGCCCGTCCCAGTGAGGCCTGTTCTGCTCTATCCCCAAGAATCCTTCCCAAGGTGTAGGAGCTTCACACAGCCCCACACCTAAGCCTGTGCCCATGAATGCTGTACGAACCATGTTATCAGTTACCACCCATGGCTCACAGCTCATGACCTGCACTGGGCTGTCCTGGGCTCCCTCCCTGACTGCACACCCTCACCCTGTCCTGGCCCGGACAGCCTCTATGTTACCTCCCGCACCCCGGGCCTCTCCTCCCTTAGTAGACCCCTCTGACTTTAGTGAGACCCCCTTCCTTTATCTGGGATCCCACACCAGGCCCCCTCCGCCAGCCCTGGGCCTCTGAGATCCAGGCCTGGCCCACCCCGGCCCCCACCTCCAGCTACCTCTGTGCAGCTTTGCTCTGTCCCTGTGCCTCTTGTGCTCCTGTCTAAGGCTCCTCGCCCTCTCCCACTGCGGAGACTGGTGCTCCTTCTCGGGTAGGGCAGAGCCAGCCCCAGGAGCAGGTCCTTGTCCCACAGGCCTGCAGGGCTCTTCCCTGGCAGCCTATAGGCAGTGGCCACAGCCCCGGGCAAACTGGCACCCCTTCCTTCTTGCCCAGGCTTTGTCAGCAGTGGTGGCTGGCCTGGGGTGTCCACAGCGTGGGGCCCTGGAGGTCGATGTTGTTCTCCGGCGGGGTCCAGAGTGGAGATCTGGGTGCGAGGGAGCCTGCCAGGCTCACGGCCAGGACTGCCAGGCGGACAAGCAGCCACACGGGGGCGGTGCAGAGTGCGGGCCCCGCCATGGCTCCTTCCTTTCGTGATGGTACAAAGAAAGCAGACAGCCTAGGAGAGGTCTTCACCTCTGAGCCTTACAGTTATCAATAGTCCAGACTGCAACTGGCTCTGCACACTGTGACCAGGTTGCTGATGTGGCTGACGTGGTTTCCCTTGTGACAGCCTCCTGGGTGTGGCCCAGGAGCATGGCCTCCAGTCTTCATCCTGGACGTCAGGATGTTGTCCCCAACTTGGGCACCGTGACCTCCTCTGCAGTGTGGGGAGGAGGTGCACAGCAGATGCCGAGAAGCCAAGGACCGTATTCTCAGACTTGGTCTTCATGTTTTCACAGCTACTGGAGCGGTGGTGTTCCACAGCCTTCCCAGATTTCGCCACACTGCCCAGGCCCCAGTCACTTCACAAGCTGCTTGGAGCTGCACTCTCTCTCCCGCTGGTCCACAGTTTTATAAGACGGGTCCAATGGAATCGGGACCTGTATTGCTCAGATTGAAAAAAAGATAACCTAGGGCCGGGGATTTAGCTAAGTGGTTCAGGCGCCTGCCTTGCAAGCACAAGGTCCCGAATTCGATCTTCGGTACTGGGCCCGATGCTGCTCGGGCACCGCCTAGGCTTCCTCCGAGCCAGTGACGCCACAGCGCACCCTCGTGGTCCTTGTCCCCAGGCCCTCGGGAGCCGTGGCGACCCAGCCCACTGCCATGTCCAGGAGCCTGAGGAAGAAGAGTCACTGGAAGAGCAAAGTCCATGAGGGGGACGCGGAGAACAGCCAGTTCCCCTACCTGGGTGACGTGCAGCCCGGCAAGGTGGCCTCGGAGAGCAGCAGCAGGCTGGTGTAGGAGGAGCTGCTCCTGGAGGTGCCCGAGACCCCGGTGGCGGGGCTTACCAGCAGGGTCGTTGCTGCGGTCATCAGGCACTGCGCCGGCCTGCTGCTGGTCAAGTGCGTCCAGCGAGGTGAGCGGCCGTGCGCGGGGTCTGCGTGTGGCTTCGGCGTCCCAGAATGGTCTTTATTTTCAGATGTTATTAATAATTGTCCCCCTGTAACATTGAAGAAGATCAATTGAAAAACTGCTACGATTAATAGGAAGATCCAGTCAGCTGTAGCAGAATAAGATAAATTCACATATGTATGTAGAGTTTAATAGCTTTTGAAAGTGTTAAGCCATAACTAGTTAAAAATGTAATGAAGGGTCGGGGATTTAGCTCAGTGGTTCCGCCGCCTGTCTCGAAAGCACAAGGACCCGAGTTCAATCCCCAGTACCCCAAAAAAAGTAATGAAAATAATTTACCATTCACAATGACAGTGAAATGTAAAATATCTAAAAATGAATTTAGGGTACATCAAAAGCTTATAATGTTGATGTAGGACAGATTTAAAAGAAGACAAAATAAATTGAAGCATATGTTATTTTCCTAGAAAACTCACTATGTTCAATTTGCTAATTGATAAATTCAATACAATTCCAATCAAAATTTATTTGGATGGGAGGAATAAACAAGATAATTCAAATGATTAACTGAAAAGTTAATATGGAAAAACACAAACATTGAATTAAAAGAGTAGTAAGATGAGATTGGCCTTATAAATATCAAAGCTCATGTGCAATAAATATAAAATAGTTAAGTATGTGGTAGCACCATAAGACAAAAAATATAATTGGAATAAAAGAGAGCTGTAGCATGTGATTAGAGGAACATCTTAATTCAGGAGATAAAGGGTAAAGTTTATTATTAAAAATTCATATTGAGGCCATTTATTATCTATGCAGAAGAAAAGCTTTTAACCCTATATGCTATAAAATTTTCCACATTTTAAAATGAACCCCAAATGGATTAATGATCTATATATATCAGTTTTTACAGTGTAAATGTTTTCATAAATTATTCGTATACTTAAAGGAGTTGGTAGAAAGTATGCATAGCTTTTTATAATTTTAGGGTGAAAAATTTTTTTCATCAAGATGAGTATTTAAATATGTTTTCCTGTTACACATGGATAAAAAAAGTCATGGAAATATGCCACAAACTGTCATTAGTAATTTCTGGTGGCAATGTCTTGGGACATTTACTTTTTTTATATACTATATTTCTGTGGTGTTTTAACTTCATGTAAACAAATTTGTATAACGTTTGTGACTAGAAAAATAAAGTTCATAAAAAAGAAAATAAAAATAAGAAAAGGATAGACACTAGTTATATAATTTAAGAAATGTGCAATAATATAGGTCGATTTATTTTTTCCTTCTTTATGCTACCTCTACATGTTATAAACTCCATCATAAAAATTATTTTTGCATTAACAGTCAATTATCTTTTAAATAATCTAAGAAAACAGAAAACCTATCTTCTATTTACTTGTTATATTTACTGGTAGTTTTGTTCCTTTGTTTAGAATTGAATTTCCGTCAGATAGCATTTCCCTTTAGCCTTAAGAACTTCCTTTAACATTTCCCGTACTGCAGATCTACTGGTGGTGAATTTTCTCAGCTATTTTTTAATTTAAAAAAAATCTTGATTTCTCATTCTCTTTTAAAGATAATTTCTTTAGATATTGACTACTAGGTTGGCTTTTCCTTCGTGCATAGCTAATATTTGACATATCATTCCATTGTATTTTGACTTGCATTAGTCCTGGTGAGAAATAAATGATAAATCTTACCATTGTTCCCCTTATGTAATATGTCTTTGTTCTTTCATTGTTTCTAAAATACCGTTTTTGGCTTTAAGATGCTTAACTATAATGTACCTGGATGTTGTTCCCATTGTATTTATCTTGCTTAGGGTTTTATAACTCCAAGCTTCTTGGGATGGTAACAATTTAAAAAATCAAATCTAGAATTTCAGTCACTATTTTTAAAAACTTTTTTTTTTCTGGCCTCAATCTCTTCTCTCTCCTTCTGGATTCCAGTTTTATGTATTGCTTGATATTATTTCAAAATCACTTCATTGAAGCCATTTATTTTTCTCAATCCTTTTTGTTTCCATTTAGAT